GTATCAGAGGTTTGTTATAGTAGAAACACATATCAAAACAGGTTCCACATTTGTGGTCTTTTCTGGTCCAATATTATACAACAGTTTTAGTAGTGACTTAGATAATAGAATAGGAGAGGATTCTGTCATCTGAAGATAACAGCAAGTGGAGGGCAGGTGCAGTCATGTTTAAGGACAGGACAATAATTACAAATTTTGTTGAAAAGTTCTGAAAAACAGGTTGAAATTCAGTTAGGCTGACTGCAAAGTTTCACTCCCAGGAAGTAGTAATCAGCTACAGAGGGTAAGGACAGGCTTTCTACTGCAACCACAGTTGTAGTAAACCACAGTTTAACAAGATTGGGAAACACTGGACCGTTGCAAAGAGTTGGACATTATTTGGGGACATATATCTGGGAGTGTCATCCTCAAAACTTGCAAGGTAATCCTTCTGTGTTACCCAGTGCTGACAGGACCTTTTCTGGTACACCCTACATAGGCTCCACATTTTAATAACAATCTAGAGAGAGTAAAAAGATGAGCAGGGAGAATGAGGACTAGAAAATTTCATTTGTGAGGGAAGAGTGAAGGAAATGCTGCATATTCCACACAGAAGATGAAGAGAAGCATGCTACAAGACTTCAAATGCCTAAAAAATAGCTGCACAAGAAAGGCAATGCATTCTTTTCCATGTCAACTAGTGGATTACATTGCCGTTAGAGAGATATAGGTTAGGTATTAAGAAAACTTTTTGGACAGTAAGGCCAGAGAAACACTGGAATAAATGACCTAGGATGAAATCTTCATGACTGGAGTTTTCTAGGATGAAGTTAGATGGATGACGTATACAGAGTGATGTGTCTAGAACTGAATCTCCAATGAGGCAGTGGCATTGACTTGAAGATATTCCAGGTATTTCTTATGACTTGTCTGATTGAACAACTTTAAATTATTATGGGAAAGGTGGGGCCAGTCAATTCAATTTGTCCTCAGCTCCTATTTCTATTTTTCAGTCATTTTGCTTTGGGTTAAAATAAAGTACTACATACTGGAGCTAATGCAGATCCTTTCCAAATCTGTCAAAGTCAGAGTGTTGCAAGTTACAGTTTCAGAAGTTGCATACTCACTTTTTCCCATACACAGATTCTGAGGTTTTAATAAATTTACCTACACAAATGCATCAATTTTATTTAATCTGGTTTTATGAGTCTCATGTTGGTGCTACAGATCTCTACAGCTCCTTCTCATCAACTGTGGAACATGTATTAGTGAGTAAAAAATTGATGAGTTTTAGGCTTTCCTCTCTGCTTCCCTTCCCCTCTCCAATCAACAGCTCAACAAAAGAGCTAATAGAAACTTCACTGAGAAACAGAAACCTTTGCATAACTGCCTGTCTGTTGCAGAGGATGGAAACATATGGATAGGCTGGAGAGTCGTATGAGGTGCTGAAAAAAGTACCCAGATGCAGAGAATTTGCTAAAGGACAAAAGCATGTTAAGAAATCTAATTTTTTATAGTTGGTACCTGTGACTCTTTATCACGGTTCAGTGGAAGCCAGTATTAAAATACGTTTAATCACTGGTATTTCCAAACCAACATATGACTTAAATTGTATGTGCACAGGCATAAGCTGTGGCTGCCCCATCCCTGGCAGTGTTCAAGACTGGGTTGGATGGGACTTGGAGCGACCTGGTCTAGTGGAAAATGTCTCTGCCCATGGCAGGGGGGGTGAAACTGGTTGAGGTTAAGGTCCCGTCCAACCAAAACCAGTCTGGGATTCTATGATTCTATAAACCCCAGAGATTTCTAATTCAGATATGCCCAGCCTCCATACCCTGCTGTGTTGAAATTACTAAGTCTAGTCAGGAACACAGTGTAGCCTTACTACATACCTCTGTTCTGCATAGTGGCCTCTGTTGTTTAAATTACCTAATTGCACAACAGTAGTTGGGTAATTTAACAGCTTCTTTACATATACACCACATGGAAGATGCCTCTTAAATTGATCAGTTTTAGCTATGCTTACATGAAACACAATGTGTTGCCTGTATTTACATGGATCTAACAACTATTCACAACAATTAGGAGAAAAGCACTAGGAATTGTGCAGGTTGAGGAGGATACATCTGCACTGTTCACCCTGGGCCAGATCCAAACCTCACCAAAGTCTATGGATGTCAGTGGGCTTTGGATCAGTACCAAGGCTACTCCTGCCTTTGCTTAGATCTTACTCTGATAGTTCTCCCACTGAAGTCAATGAGATTATTCCCTGGTATAATAGAGCTCACTGTCAGGAAGATTTTAATGACATTCAACCTACATTTTCCGTGTCTTCATATTACCCCATTAGTCCTAGTTATGCCTCATTATCCTCTTTTTTCTGAGGACCCAATCCTAACCTCCTCACTCAGGCAAAACTCGCACTGACTTTGATTAAGGAAGCAGGATCTCGCTGTCATCTTTACTGTTCAGAGGCTGCTGTAATGCCCCCCCCTTGATGTCATCATATAGACAAACCATGCATGGTATTTTTGCTTGTAAAGACCACAGTGCTGAGCCTATGGCAGTACTGAAGAGGAGAGAAAAACGAAAAGATTTGCCAGTACAATTTCAAGCCATACAGCAATATGAATTTTTAAATAACATTTGATCTTATAAAAACATTTTATCATCTTTCCATCAGACATACGTACATCCTCACAGCTATATAAAAATTTGTAGTAAAATTATTGTAAGTAGTTTCTTTGATTAAGAACTCAACATTTGTGGTTTAGAATAGCTTTATAATTTGCTGTGGACAAGACAGATAACATGATACCTCTTTCTCAACGATCATTTATTATGTAAAATTTGGCATTTCTGGATGGTTGCGTAGGAACGTGTTCTAAATTACCAGAAGTTAAATACTTTTTATACATATATAAAAATGGCAATTTCCTATAGAACTGCATTAAAAGCTTGGATTTTATTTGGAATTAAGACATCACATGTCTCCCATGGTCTTCACACATATTTTTTCGCACTTACAATTCTATTAGCTTAAAAGGTTAAACTCTGGTAGTAGAGTCTTATTATTTTCTTCTCTTGGTCTGTAATGTTCCAGAGAAGAATATGTAGAGTCCCTTCCCCTCTATCTGGTCACTGATCATGAGAGTACCAAGACAGGGGACACTGCCAGGGCAACCTGGTTGAGATGGTATTATTTGTGGCTGATGGGATAAAACACTTTAACATGTCAGCGTAGAGCGAGAGTGAGCCCAAAATCTCCTGGTCAAATATCGTGGGTAGTTCTACCTTCACTTGTTTTTAAAGTTTGTGGAACAAGAGCCTTCTTTTTGTCTGTTTTTGCGCAACAGTGGGCGCTGAATGGAGGGGATTTTACGGTACTACAGTATCATTACTGATACTATTTATAGTGAATGAAAGAGAAACCCACACTAGTTTGGATTGGAAGGGACCTTAAGGCTCATACAGTTTCAGCTCCCTGCCATGGGCAGGGACACCTTCCACTAGACCAGGTTGCTCCAAGCCCCGTCCAACCTGCCCTTGAGCACTGCCAGGGGTGGGGCAGCCACAGCTTCTCTGGGCAACCTGTGTGTCCTGGGTTCAGCTGACACTGTGCCAGGGCCTCACCACCCTCACAGGGAAGAACTTCTGCCGAAGATCTCATCTCAGTCTCCCCTCTGTCAGGTTAAAGCCATTCCCCTTGTCCTGTCCCTACAGACCCTTGTCCAAAGCCCCTCTCCAGGTTTCTTGTAGCCCTTTGAGGCACTGGCAGCTGCTCTAAGGTCTCCCCTTAAGGAGCCTTCTCTTCTCCAGGCTGAACCAGCCCAGCTCTCTCAGCCTGTCTCCAGAGCAGAGCTGCTCCAGCCCTCGCAGCATCTCTGTGGCCTCCTCTGGACTCACTCCAACAGCTCCGCATCCCTCTTGTGCTGGAGGCTCAAGAGACAGTTGGCTTTCTGGGCTACGAGTGCACAGTTTTGGGTCATGTTGAGCTTTACGTCAACCAACTAAAAAAAAAGAATGCATGTACATCACACAGTACTTAACAAATACTCCAAAGTAGGTTCCCGTTCCTGATGCTGTGTGCTTTCCTACTCTGTTTTGAAGAAATGGTTTTAATTTTTGGGACTCACTGGGAGTTCCCAGTGAGGACATTTTTCCAGTTACAGATATCATCTATACCCACACAGCTATAGGAAACCATTGTCTACATGCTTGCTTTTCCCAGCTTTTTTAGCATATCCTACTAATTAATCATTGTAGATTTATATTTGTATTCCCTTTGCTGTTAGTTATAATTATTTCTCAGTAACTGCACAGACATTGCATACACTAAGATTAAAAAAGTAAAACATTACTGCATGATCTGTATTCACTGCTGTTGTCCTTATTTGCCCTACTCATTCTAATGTTATGCTGGTTTATGGCAAATGGAGGTCCAGCTCTCACGTGACTGTTCAGACCTATTTCTTTAATAGCATAAACCAAAACACGCTAATGTTTGTACCATTACAGAATTGTTCAGGAATGCTACTCTGAAACTCAGCATATGCAAGAGGCATTTGCACACTGACTGAAAAAGTTTGCTTCTTTGGTCCAGCCCATCTCTCCTTTTCAGATATGAGGAAGCACAAATTACTAAGATGCAGAAATTCATGCTGAAGAATAATGATGACCTGAAGACTCCATCTGCATCAATGCTTTTATTTCAGACCAGTTTGCTATTCACGATGATTTCCCAGTGATCCTAACTTACCATTCTTTTGCTTGCACCATGAAGTGTGCAAGTTAGTTTCCTTTCAGATGAAGTTGAGCCAAAGGATGCACTGTAAGACTCCAGAAAGTTTGTTCCAATGTGGCAGAATTCCGTCCCATGGACAGAATGTCCACGGAACCATACTTGAATTAGTCTGATGTGAACCTCCCCAAAAATACAGTGTGGATATAGGTCCATAGCACCAGCTCTGTTGTGCTGTAGATCTTCATTGCACTGCACTAATTGGAACATACCCTTAGCTGCCTATTTTGTGAGGCCAGCCCTGTAGTGCCACCCCATCTCCTGCTATTTAACGTGATCCTTCTTTGCCTGCATTCTGATGGTGCAGCTTTTTCAATAAAGCAGACAAAAGAAATTGGCAGATAAAGAAGAATGCTTTTCACCGGAGTCCAGGCACTGCCTTGGCTTGCTTACAGAACAAGCAAGGAATGGAATGGGGAAGAAATTCACCCCTCAAGCTTGGATATCCTGTATGAGAAGAGCAACAGTAGCTTTTTCAGAAACAGCATCAGGCTGGATGTTGAGCCATCTCTAGAGTTTAATTATAGCTAGAGAAATTAGGCAGTCACATTAATGCATTGTGTGTATTGCTATTATTTATTGTAGATACACTCTTTTTGTATCACATACTAAAAAAGTCTGGTTAAATTCAGACATGTTTGAAAAGCATCTCACTTTGTAATCAGCATATGAGTACTATTTTTATCTGGTATTACATGGGTTCCACAGAAAGATAAATGTTTGACTGTCAGCACCTCCTATTTCCATTAACCTTCTTTTCCTCATTAATAACTGACCTAGAGCAGTAAGGGCCACCCATGAATTCAAGCAAATAAAACAATCTGCTTCTCTTGGCCCAGTGCTTTTGGCTTCATTGAGCCTTAGCAGAGTAAGCAGCAACATGTCTGCTGGGAACTATTTACAACTCCACAGACAACAGCTTTCGGTGCATTTCCTTGGTCTCACCCATTTAGCCATTCTATCCCTAATATAGTAACCTACTCCATGCTTACTAAAAAACTCATTGATATTTGGGACCTTGAAAACTAGCCAAAACCCACAGAAGATAAGCATAATAGAACACAGATTATTAACACATATATTTAGCATAACAGATCCCAGTATTAATAATCTATTTTTTCCAATTCAGACCTGTTCTGTAAAACTCAACCGTGAGGTTGTATCTGATGAAATGGTAAAGCTGCAGAGAAGAAACAACGCACAAAGAAGTGTTTGCAATTCAATACGAAAATGGTGTTTCGGATTTTAATACAGTATAATTGACCACACAGATTTATTTTTTTTTTCTTCCTGTGAAAAGATAATTTGGTATTAAAATCATGCAGTACTTCAATAATGTAATTTTTATAATGACAGCAAAATACAATTTCTGTAATGCAAGTGAATCGTAAACTTATTCAAATTAAGCATGTAATATGTCTGACTGCTGTCAGTATTATCCATTTTAAAAATAACTCTGGCATCAGCTGTTATTGAATACTATTATATTTCAACTACATAACAAAAACTCTTGAAGTCACAATATAAACATATTCAAATGCCATGTTGCGTTTATTTGGGAAATGAATCCTGTGGGAACAAGTAAAACTTTTTCTTCTTGACAGTTTTATTGAAGGTTTTTTAAACAGCTGAACCTTAGGAATTCTTTCCCCATTTTCAGTTGAAAACTGAAACTGTGATGGTTTAGACCTTCCAAATATAAAAATTAATTCCCAAGGATACGCAGGGTTCCTACTGCTTCTTGCAGTTGCAAAGAGGCGTAATCTGTGAAGGACAAGACCAGAGTGTAATTGCACTGCTTGTAAAAGTGCTGTTTCATCTGTGTTACTCATCCTCAGACCTTTTTGCTGCTGTTTGTGCAAGAAGTACAATTGTGTGTCACTTCTACAAGATCTTAAAGGAATTTTGATAGATGAGCAGATTGAGTGAAAGAAGCTACCTGAGCAGTTTCTGCAGGTTACCTCACTTAGGTTTTTAATATATAACATTCCTGCCTTTTTTTTTCCTCGGGGCTCCTTCCTCCTCTCCTGATGGAGAGCTGCATGCTCCTTCTCCGTAAGCTGAACAGGCTCCACGAGGAGCCTGTTTCCACAGTAGGCTCTGTAATGTGGGGCACCGCAGAAGCATACTTTGATGTTTTTAACTTACGGTGCTTTTCTCCTTACAGCTGGCAAGTGGAGTGCTTCAGATAAGTCTGCACCAGGTCAGGGGGATCTTTGTGTAAACTGAGGTGAGTGTTGGATAGATTATGACTTGCATTGTGCCCCCTTTGATCTGTGCACATATTCGCGTTTGATCCCTGCGCAATACACTGAGCCATGCACAAAGCAATTCTGTCTCCTTTGTCTACGGCTACTAGATACTACATTGGGGATTGTCATCTGTTTTCTCATATGTATGTTTAAAGTGAAATACAGATAATATTCCCTTACGCTGCTGTATTTCGTTTTCAAAGATACGTTTTATCGATTGTAAATTTTACTTCTTACCAGCAATACATTACCCTGGAAGCAAACTGAGTTAAGTGTTGTCAATGTGGCTGTAATTCCTTTGCAATTGTATGAGGTGTGAAATTCACTTGACTGTTCTTACTGAAAGATCTGGAGGGTGGGAGATTAAAAAAAATTATTTACTTCTGTCAAGCAAGCATGGAGAAGTACAGATTATGTATATCATCTCTAGGAAGAAGATGGAGGAGCTGTGGTTCCAAAAGACATCCCCATAAGAAAATGAAAAGAACGCAGGACAAACATTTTGGGGTTTTGGTTTAGTTTGTTTTTTTTTCCTTTTTCATCATATATATGATATGTGTAAAGAGACAGTAACAGTTTATTACACTAAAAGATAAAGTGTTGATTGAGCTAAATTAAAGTTTGAAGTAGAAAAAATTATGCAGAATGTCCCTGCTACAAACTTCTTAAAACAACGTGTTTCTCTTGATAGAAACCTTAGTCATGATGGTCACAACAGAAACCAGAAACAACCTTTTTGGGGGTGGACAAATAGTCTTTTTATTTTTTTTAAATGGATTTAAGATAATTTTTACTCTTTACTTCAAAATTATGATCCACTCTTAAAAGCAGGCATTAAATTTTATAAGAAGAAATTAACTCATTAATTAAATGTGGGACTCTCTGTAAAATACCTGCATTGATACTGTTGATTTGGTGTTTTGCCTTCTCAGTCACTACCTTAGCATGGCACTAGGAGGCAACCTGCTAGTACAGCTGTCCTTCCTCAGGCATCAAAGTCGTTAATATTGTCACCTTTCAGCATCAAATCTCACTGTTAATGGGAAGGTTTTGGTGTGTAAAATCCCAGCCTGTATTACTACAGTCTCCTTAGTGTCTTCCACGCTATACAAAATGGCAGACTGGTGGTTAAGAACACCTTCCTGAGGCTTTGACCACAGGTTCAGTCAGTCATGCCAATTTCTAATGTATTAAATGTACAAGTGAAGTCAGGTGAAGGGATATTTAGACTGCTGGTCTTGACAGGGCTGTGATAGCTAAACTGCCTGCATTGACAAGACATGTGTCTCCAGGTACACCCAGAAGCAGACCAGCTTAGATAACTTTAGGGGGGGGAAATTTATGCCTTTCTCTCTACTGTTGACATCTCTAGGATAGAAAGCAGCCAAAAAAGGGGTTGGGGTTGAAAATGCAGTGTGGTTTCAGGTACCAATGGTTACAGCTAGGTAGAGTTTAAGCTTTTAATGGAAATGAGCATACAGAACAATAAAAATGATAATTGGTCAGAAGAAAGAACATGGACATTCTCAATCTGGGCACCAAAATGTGTTCGTTTTCATCTTCTCTTTACCTCGGTTTGCATCCTTATTATTTTCATTGCCATTCTGAAAATTAGATGTTAGAAACATGACAATCATAGGCAAATCTAGGAGAAAGTTAATAGTTCGGGTCAAAAAAGGTACTATGCTCTACATAAGGCTGTGGCCACATATAGAAAAATTAGGTTGAATAAAAAGTCAGTAGACTGTAAATTTATTACATGTGCTAAATTAGCAGATGGTCTTTCAAAAAAAGTAGCCTAAGTACATGTCCTTTAAGAATTGCATCAGCACAGGTAGTGATGCATATGGGTAGAAACTGAAGTTTCATGGGCAAGAGCCACACCAGCTCTTCCTGGCTGTTTTAGTGCTTGACTTTGCCACCTTACATCGTTCTATTGCCATAAAAGTTCCTTTGTTGTCGTTTGGGTGCAAAGGTGTATTTATGTATTTTCCAATTCTGTAAAGAACAGTGCTTAGATGTTTTGAAAGATTCAGTGCCTATCACAGGGGGACTCATAAAGAGCTGGAAACATGTTTTAAAAAATGCTCTCACGAGTGTAAACTAAGACAGAAAGTTGAGTTTGGTTTGGTTATGTCTGTGCTCCTTTGTTTGCTTTTAGTGAGTATTTTGGCTAATAGATTTACTATGAGGACTGCTCACACCAATAGCACATTTTAAGCAAATGTTTTAAAAATCCAATGGTTATTTAGACTGAATGTTTTCACTAGGAATCTAACTATAAGCTTTACTAGTTTTAATGTATGTTTTATTATTAAAGCATTAAATTGGAAAGTATGTTTCTGCACACATGGTTTTACATTTAATTAGGAATTGCTAACTCCTGGGTTACATAGCAACTTCCAAGAGGGCACTGCAGGTCACTTGCTTGGCTCTCAAGAATTTAGGTATTAAGTACTTTCAACAATATAGCATAAATTCTCAGACCTTTTCATTAGGTTTATAGTTGGACTTGATGATCTTAAAGGTCTTTTCCAACCTAAATGGTTCTATGACTCTGATTCCCTTCAGTGCTGCCTTCTGTATAAGCCAGTCTTAAAATCTGTATTTCAAATGCTGGGATGTGTTGTGATATTGTTAGGTACACCAAATGATGCATTAAAACAGGCACTGCACATTTTTTAAAGGAAACAGGTAATTTTGAACTGGGATCATACATAACAAAGGAAAAAAATCCAATAATTTCAATTTTTAAGTCTGCTTAAATGTAATTATTTATCTACAACTTCTCTTGGCAGGTTTGAAGTCTTACATAGAATCTTGTCTTGGATTTTTACCACCTCTTCCTTCCCATTTTAGAAAAAAATAATCAGGTTTGTGTCTCTCTCATAGAAACATAATTAACATCAGTGGTGTATGGAATTAATGCTGCCTGTAAGGAAAGAGCTTCACAATTGAATCATAGATTTGCTGCTGTGCAGTTCGAAGATGTGAGCTTTGCTCACAAGACAATGGGTTTATATGCTGTATTCCATAGATTCTCATTACATGTCTTGTGTCAGCAAAATTATATTTGGCAATCTCACCACTTGCATCAGCTCATATTAATATTATTTGTAAGACAAAATGGTCCTTGATACTATGCTTCTACTCATCAGAAATAATTTTGCTCTAGAATGCTAATATTAAAGTTTATATATGATTACATTACTGTTTGTTTTAATAATTTCCAATAAAAACAACTACTGTTTTAGTGGTTCATGTTATTTTCTTGTATTTCCTGGCAAGTACTGCATGTCTTTATAAGGAATACAAAAACAAGTTGGCTGCAGCTCAGCTGAGAGGCTGACTCCGTAGGCTGTGTGCCTGGTGGAGGCTTTCATTTAAACCAGTGCTGTGGACAGGGCATATCAGATGGGCTGCCTTCTTCAGCTTCTGAATTGTGCTCTCTTATAGTGAAAAACTACAAAACAACATTAATTAAGACTTCAAATATAATGGAAAACTGCTAATCTCAAAATAAAAGCCTGCTAGGGAAAGCAAGAAAGGCTGATAGCATACAACAGCTCACGAAATGGCAGCTGCTTGGGTGCACACCACCATCCTAGACATGCACTACCTGCAAAACTATTAAGCAGTAACTACATACGCAGAAAACACTACCAACTGCAGGGTGGTTTTGGTGTTGTTTTGTTTGTTGATTTGGGGTTTGTTTTTTTTTCTCTTGAGGCATAATACAGAATAAAAAGCAACTTCAGATTGCATTTAGGTGTAATTAAACGTACTGCAGTTTCAGCTCAAGAACAAATTCCCTGTCCGTGTATAACTTAAGGTCTCAGTGAATATAATGTGCATGTATTGATAGATCATCTCACATTATGTAATATTTGAAACACTGAAGCCTACAGACAAAAAAAAAAACCAACCAAACAAACCAAACCTAGGAATCATGGAAAATGCAGTTGTGTTGGTATATTTTGGGAAATACATGAAGTTTTTTTAATAGCTGAAAGAAAACAGTAAACCCTGACATACAGAGATATAGTTCTAATTACCACCCTATCATGGATATTTCAGCAAAAAACTGCATTTCAACCTTTTGCAAATTATTGTTTGGCCAGTTTAACATATTTGTTATTGGCTATTGAAGCTGAGGACAGGAAACTTTTTCACCATTACCTCTTTTCAGTAAGAAGCAAACCATTCAGACCCAAAATTGAGGGCTGTTCTTACCCTGTTCAGAATGTGAAATTTTTTTCTCTCAGCACTTGTATTTGTTTCAGAGCTCTTCTCTGGCTAGTCTGGTTTATATTTCCTCCTAAAATGGACAAATTCTACAGTCATTTAAATCCATCCAACCCTATCGACCTCAACCATATTCTTACCCTGATTTACAGCCTCATTAGGATTTTAATGATGTAAATGAAAGTAGAATTTGCTCCTAAATCTTCACTCTACATTAAAGAGTATGTTCACCTCTCACTGCAGGATGTGGGAGTATGTGCCGCAAACAGAGAACACACAGCTAAAACTTGGCAGGCAAGGTCTCGGCGAGAGGGTGGATTTTTTTGTTGTTAATGTTGAGCTCACTTCTTTCCTTAGATAAGCAGGCACACATTCCCATGTATCTTGTAAAATCTTTAACAGCTCTACACATGCATGTACAAGTGTAGCGCTGTTTTTACAAGATAGACAACAATTCTTACTCGCATATCTTTCTGATGAGAGAATCAAGTCATCAGTCTTGAATGTACTTGGTTTTACTGAAGTTGCAACACTACAGAAAGGGTAGGCGCTTACCAGCTATTGGTGCTTTCCTGGAGTACCTGTAGTACAGAAATAGGTCCTCCTGCACCAGAGGTCCAGCCCTACAAACCTCTGAATGGGTCATGAATGAGAAAGTGTGTCTGCAGGATATTTATTTCTCTATTTAGTTCGAACTCTTAGCCTTAAAGCCTGATCCAAAGCTCACAGAAGGAAAATCCTCATTAACTTCAGTGCCCTGAATCAGTTCCTGAAAAAAAAGAAAATAACATGTATCCCTTTCAGTATCTTCCATCAGTTTAAGCCAGAAAACCCTTATTGCTTCAAACACACTGTACACAAAAGAGTAGCTATGAAGGACTCAATATTTGTATTACACACTGCATTTTACAGCACAAACCAGCAAGTTTACTCTGCCCTTATGCTCTCTGCAGCTCGGGTGTATGTGTAACTCCTAGTAGAGAACCACGTCACATGAAATGATTCTCCTCTCACCCTCAAAACTATCTTCAAGGAAGATCTTTGCTGGAACTTGCTGCTGAAGAGTCATTTCCATGAAGTCTTATCTTAGAAAATGATTAGAAAAGCAGAATGATTGGACATCAGAACGGCCCTGGGCAGCTGATTTGATACACTGAGCCTGGAGTTCATTCACCCATTGCCATCTGAATGCCAATAAACTGCAAACAGTGTCACATACACTTTTGTATCGTTAATGGAGAATCATGGTGTGGCCAGTAACACCAGTACCATGGTTGAGGGCAGCCTGATCAGGGATACAGATTGCCACTTACAGCAAGATGATTAGTGCAAGATCAGGCTGAACACCACATGGACAGGTTTGAATGATTATGCACAAGAGGAAGAATTTAAGGATTTCTTGCATATGTTAAATTAGGGCTGTTTGGTTTTGAGTTTATCTTAAAGCACATCAAAGCTTGATTACTTTAAGTAATAGGTGAAGTGCTGCAGAGTCAAGAAGCAGAAGAATTTTTAAAGCTCTTACATAACTCCAGTGATATTTTTAAGCATATTAATTGGCAGGTGCTTCTCACAAATAAGGAGGTGACTTTCTGAAAATACATCTGCCCCTAGGGTATAGCATGGCTTATTTTGTAACTTCTATCAACAGCAGAATTCATCACCTGTAAAAATGAAAAAGGTGGCACTCATTTTCAGAAAGAAGTAGTCAGGAGGAAGCTTTCCTCCCCAAAACAACAGACCAGATCAGGAAGGGAATGCAATCAAAACCAGGGAATACTTGAATTCTGCACAAGCGTTCAGGCTCCCCATGACCCTCTCTCCCCACTCTGCAATCTGTTGGTGATTGCAAGTGCTGGGGACCCCATTATCTCTCCAAAGGGATTCAGCATCAGTGGTAGAAATTATTTGTGCAAGTGAAGTTTGTGGGATCTAGTCATCATTTATATACATATGTATGTATATGGCACGAGCACTGCCGCAGCAAGCCCATGGATGGGCAGTGGCAAGCCTCATCACTCTGCTGTCATCCTCATGGCTTAAAATGGCAGAAAAGATGGGGGTAAAAATAACAGTGTGTTTAAAAACAGCACTGCCAGTAACTGGTTTATATCCATTTTCTCCCTTTTCCTTGATACAGATACCCTTAACACCCAGCAGAGAGAAACACTTGGATCATGCTGCATGCGTGCAGCTGAGCAGGGGGAAGCATCAGATGCTGTGCCCCTATCTTGAGGGTGGCAGACACGGCATTTTACTATAAATGCTTATGTATTAATACACAGAAACCTGTCTTAGTAAGGTTTTCTGGATATCTTAATTCTGGTGGTTCAAAGTGAGAGTGAAATTACAGGTGCCAGTTTGCAGCACTGAATGCTGATAAACAACTTGCAATTTTGCAGTGGCTGGTCACATCTGGAGCCTTTTGGGATGCAAAAAGTACTGGAGGATTATTGCAAAACTTAGAGACACTTAGGTTACCATAACTTTTTTGGTTTTAACCTAAATTTGTAGATTTTGGGGGGGGGGGGGGGGGGGGGAATTTTAGGTGTTATTTAGCTAACCAGCTATGTCAGCAGCAGAGCAAGCAGAGAGACAGGTCTATAGCTCTTGTCAGGAAACTTCTTGTTTGACCTTAGAATGAGACAGGCTGGTATAAAACCATGGATCTGTGGATTGTGCTCCGTTAATTTCAGTGTGTTTTAAAACTCCATAATCTACAATCCCTGACTCTGACCTAGCACTCTGACTACGTTAGCCCGCAGCATTCAACAGACTTGTGCAACGTTGAAATAAACCTGCTTGATAAATTTAAATTCTCCTTTTTGCACATTTAAGTTAGCGTAATATACTTCCGTAGCTTAGAAAATGAACAGACACCAGGTACAGAGACTGATGGATGGACCCACAGCACTGGCTGGGAAGGTCCCTTGCTTTTGCATTTTGTTGTTCATGTAGTTATTCCGGTATGGGATACATTGACATAACATCAAATTTGGTTTTATGTATTGCTGCAGCCTTCTACTATTTTCAAAGCACTCGGTTATTCTCTTTTGAAAATCCCTGCTGAAACCTGAGAGGCTGTTACGAATTAAAACCTGTTTAGAATACTGTCTTTTTGTATTTGTTAGCATGTGTATGGAAACACAAAAGGGCTTGAAGGTTTCACTCTTCCTGTTCCTTGTATGCTGTAGTATTTTGAAATCCTTGCAAAATCTCCATCAGGTCACCGTACTAAAAATTATGCATGTATGCAGTTAATGTTCCCTGACTGCTTCTGATCGGCTATGTCTGTTCCCTTTCTGTGCTCTCCTGTTGAGATCATACAATCTGAATGTAACATACAACAGACTGGTCAGAACTCCACACCCTAGCAAATTTATAAACCCTGCTCATGGAAGAAATATTCCAACCCTTACAAAATAAAAATCTAAATGCTAATATGCGCAGGTTTAGGTTCTCCCCCCCCCCCCCCCCCCTTAACATTTAGTATATACTACTTGTGTTAGAAATATCTGAAATGGCTTTGATGTATTTTCTGTTATTATCCACAATTTCCTGTTATGTAAGGTATCTCTCAGGAGACTTTGTACTCGAGAATAGGTTGCATTGGGAATTATAGCTAAGATCTGGCCCAGTCTGTGTTTTTAGCTCACTGAGCATTACTGTTGTGGAGAGCACTGTATTTTTCCTATACTGCTTAGTGTGTTTATATAAAATATTCACTCTGAAACTGAGAATGCTCCAAATTTATCCTCTTGTGGCACAGATGATCTTTCATGAGAATACGGTTAAACACAGGGTTTTTTGCTTCAGAGAAGATATTGTCAAGTTGGGTCTGGCTTTCTTCCCCCTTCTGTTTGAAGGTCAGTGATCATTTAGGAGTTTTCTGTCATGCATTTCAAATGCTAAGGCAGTGTTTGTAGCAGGATATATGAGCCATAATTTATCAGTGAATCTCAATTTGTTCTTCAACTCCCTTATGGTAATGTGGTGCAGGGAAGCATGGTTTCATTGAAGCTCTCATTTGATGATAGTAAACATCTATAACCATCAGACTGCAGTCTTTAGTCCTGTGACAATGCCACATGCAATGCTTCTATCCCATTGAGAAGTGTTTGTTTGCACATTAATAGCTGTGGGAAGAGAAATCTGATTGTTCTTCCCCTTGACCACGTGTTGGCTGCTGGCAGCTTTGCTGGTAGCTACCTTTGGTAGCTTTCTTGGGAAAAACAGCATGGGCTGGTGAGGCACTGGCACAAGTTGCCCAAAGAAGTTCTGAATGCTCCATCCCTGGCAGTGTTCAAGGCCAGGTTGGAAGGGGCTTGGGTACCGTGGTCTACTGTGAGGTGTCCCCGCCCATGGGGTGGGGTGGAACTTGATGATCTTATGCTCCTTTCTAACCCTAACCACTGTATGATTCTATGATCTCGTATCTCAGTGTCATACCTGGCAGTGTCCTTGACTTTCTGTATTTTCCTCTCGCTGTTCTCTCATAGCTGCTGCATTTAAAGTCTGTTCTGCTCCTAATTTCATCTTATTCTACTCCTCTGTCATGAAATGGCTTTGCACAAATAGTGTGTGTGCGTGCGTGTGTTTGCCAGCATAAGTGCATGCATCAGGAATTATCAGCATGTGCAGGAGTTTTCCATTTTTTCCCATCTCTAAAGCTGCCATTTTTGCCTTTCTTGACATTTTCTATGTGCAGAACATCATGAGAGAACTCCTTCACAGTTCCATGGCTCAGTGCAGAAATACCTATGGCTTTAAAAGTTTGCCAGTAAACTATTTTAAGAGATATTTAAAATGTTGTATGTGTCAAATATATTCAGTTTTCATTAACCAAACCAGTTCATAATGTACAGAATTCCTTCTTGATTCTTTCCCTTATGTACCCACAGACCACAGGGCCTCAGTTAACCCCCTGCTTTTAGTGCCCTGTCTCCATTCCAAAAGGGAAGAGGCAAACTTTCACATTTAGTTAAAACATTTTTGACTGACATACATGCCATCTTGATGCAAACAAACAAAAAAAGAAGAGGGCCTTACTTGCAGGGTAACCTGCCATTTGTTTTGCCAAGCTGTTATCTAGTGTAACACACCTACACTGGTGAGGCAGAGCCCTTAACCACAATGTTCATGTTGGATTTTACTTCACGGAAGAATGTTTCTTGACCCTGGCTCTGATAGCAGCAATCCAGAGGCCTTCCAACACAGCTCTGGCTCAACAGTGCCCACAAACGCCCAGCACACCATCCTGCACTGTCAGCAGGCACAGAGCAAGAATTACCATTTACAGCTCTCTGAATACTGCTGATTCATTGACAAAACCGGAATTGCACTGTATGATACCAGTACTATTCATAGCCCTTCCACCCCTCTTGCAGGCTGTAGTATTTCTAAACATCACCACTGCTGTCAGGAACTGAAGATGATCTGCGAACCTCTTTGACCAGCACTGGATCAGAAATCATTAGTAGTTTCTTACCCACAACTTTACTCTTGTCTGAAGGTTGGGATTTGATGAACTACCTATAAATATGGCAGCTGGGTAACTTGGTAAGGAGCATGACACTCAGATTTGTGGATGCATTTTAAGAAAAGAATACAAAAAACAAAGGTTGCTGCTCAACTGTGAAGCATTATAGATCAGTGTGCTGCAGGACAGTGGGTGATTTCCCAGTTCCTAGTCACTTGAGCAGCTCTGGGACTGGATGCCTGGATGCTATACTTGACCCTCAAACCTCTCCTGACAGTTGGCTGTAGTACTTCTGCTGCATTGGTAAATGATACAATGAATACAGTTAAAAGGAGGGGGATACATGGGTTAATGAGCTGTTGGCATTTCTCCTCTGTTTTGTGGTCACAAAACAGAGGAGAAATGCACTAAATAAATGTGTGTATTTAGTGCACACATTAGCTAAGTGCACTAAGTAACTTCATGCAAATTCAGCACATTTGGGAGTCCTCATCAGAAAGAATCTAAACTTGGGCACAGATGATTTAATGGTGAAATGGGGATCCCTCTGAAAAGATGTCATTGCAAAGAATTCACTGATACTGAGACCTTCTTGTGCCAGGGAAAAAACAAAACACAACTAAACAAAATGCTTTTAAGCTCCATCTCCAGGCAGGAGAGGAGCCTGGGACCCGTTGTGAGCCCAGGGGCTGCTGAGTGAAGTGTAGAGACCTCAATGGCCACCAAGCTGCTGACTGGGGACATACCTTGAGATACTTCTACACTGCAGTCAGCAAACATGGGGAACTCTTGAGTTTTGAGCTGTGCCCACAGAGACGTTCTTCCTTGCCTGATGGTGTTGGAGGATAGTACAAAACAAAGTGCCCTGGGAGCAAGGTAAATGCTGTGATCACTACTCTGCATGGCCATATTCACCTTTTCTACTTAATCCTCCTGGAATCTGGCATGTGTTTCTGGAGGGATGGGGAGATGGCCCTAACTGCCAGCTAGCTCTCTTCTGTCCCTGTGATGTGTTGAAAAAATGTGTCCAGATCTTTATTATTGGAAGGCTCTGTTCCTATATATCCTGAGAATATGTACCAGGGGCAGAGGAGGGAACTTGAACAGAAAGATGTGTACCCTCCAAAGTGCAGTGAGAGTTAGGGTGAGAGATGTCCAACTGGAATGTGTTGAGTCAAATGTGGA